GGCCCTTCCACAGCCCCTGCCTCCGAGCCTCGGTCCCGGGTGGTGCGGTTGTGTTGTGAGCACAGGCTCGGGTCTGTCCCCAGGTGGGCTGCGTGTCACCTCCTCTGTGGTCTGGTCTCCACAGCTCGATCACGTGGACCCCAGAGCCGTGCAACTGGGCTCCCTCCTGGTCCGCGGCCTGACCATGCTGCTGCTGGTCAACAGCGCGTGCGGCTTCCCCTGGAGCACAAGCGACCTCATGCCTTGGAACGTCTTTGACGGGAAGCTGTTTCACGAGAAGTACCTGCAGACCGAGAAGGGATACACGGTGGAGGCCCTCGTGGAGCAGAACGTGAGTTCCGGTTGTCCCACAGGCTGGGCCAGTGGCTCGTGAAACTCCCAAGTCCGTGGCCTGGCACAGGGGGGTCAGTGCTGTATCCTCATGCCCCTCATGTGGAGGGCGGGCACAGAGACCCCAGCGCTGGCCCTGAGCCGCAGACACACTGCCTGGCGCTCAGGAGCTAGAGCGTCCAGCTTCTGTCACACATGTCTCCTGGCCTAAGACCCCAGACGTCTGTGGTGGGGGACAACGTGCGCCCGCAGCTCCCGCTGGGTCCCCCCTCGTGTACAGTGGCGAAAGCAAGCCTTCCTGGGAAGCAGAATTAAAAGCGTCCTTCAGGTGCTGGTGCTGCCCCTCCCGTCCTGAGCTGGCAGAGCTGGACCGCGCGTGTTTAACTCTCAGGCGCTTACCTCCGCCCCCCTTTCTTGCAAGAACAGATGTTTCCTGCAGAGGTGCCTCTGTGGATGCCAGGAGGAGTCGTGGCCCCTTACTACCTGGAAAGATTCTGAGGCTGGAGGGGAGGTTGGGGCGCAGGCTGCAGTCCAGCCTCATGAGTGCAAAGCATGTGATTCCTGGAAGGTCTCCTACGAGGTTCGGCCAGGCTCGCATGTGCCTGGCAGGGAGGCGACTCGGAGCTCCCGTGGTCGTGTCTCGCGCATAGCAGGGCGTCTCGGGAATTTAAGTTCAGAATTTAGAAGCCGCCAGAACGTCAAGTGTGGACGACAGGAGCAGGATCACGAGGGAAGAGGTTGCTCCCACGGGGCTGGTTACCACAGCAGGGACGAGGGGCGGAGCTGCGAGTCTGCACCATGGCTCTGTCTGCTCTCTCTAGCATCTCGACCCCGTGCAGAGTGGCTGAGTGCACAGCCTCTGGCTTAGAACAGGCGGCAGGACGGGATGTTCGTGAAGTGGGCTGGGAGACGGGGGTTCATTCCTCCGTCGGCTGCTCGCACACGTGCAGTCGTACCACTTCGGCCGACAGACTTTTAGGTCAGCTTCTGGTGGGTGACCCAGGTATCACAACGGGACATGAAGGTGTTAGAGTGTCTGACCTGCAGAAGAGAAGACATCACTGCTGGTTACTGCTGGGACTCGGGAGAGCGGCCAGGTCAGGGGCCGAGGGACGTCCCGCAGTGTCCCCAGCCCATGTGTCTGACGCTGGTCTGTTTGCAGAGGGCGCGGCTCACCCAGTTCCACCAGCTGAAGTCCGTGGTGTGCAAGGCCTGCCTACGGGAGGACCGGCGCATCGCCAGCCGGCAGCTCTGGCAGCCGCTCCACTCAGGTGGGTCGCCGCAGGTCTCAGGAGGAAGGCCGGGCTGATGGCATGGCTTCGACTTCGGTTCCGTTAGGAAAGAGCACGTCGTAGGGTTCCTTGGTGAATTCGTGATTCAGAGCTGCTTTGGGTGGGAGCCCTTCTGGGGTCTGGGGCACAGGCCCTGCTGGGTGGCGTGTGCTTGACACGAGTTTATGTTTCCCCACACTGAGCGTGCACGCAGCAAAAGCAGATGCAGAGAAGACAGTTAAACAGGAAACAGTAACTTCAATCACGTAGCTGTCGGTGGCTGTGGACCGTCACACGTCTTGCGGTACCTGTGCTCCCATCTCTGTGCTGCTCTCTGCGGCTGGTGTCCCCTCAGCACCGGCCAGCAGCGTGGGCGCATATCACCAGCAGCACAGCTGGCTCCCACCCACTTGGCTCCCCCGCCTCAGCTCTGAGGTTGCTTTCATTTCTCATACATCCTACTTGTATCTGGTCGTTTCCGTAGAGTACGATAGTTTTTACAGAATTATAGATGAACATGTAATTGGATTTTGGGTCAACGTTACTAACCTCCGCCAGCAGCGGTGGAGAGCTCTAGCTCGTGCGCCCTCACTGACCGATAGGTGGAGGAGGCAGAGCATCCTCTGGCTGCTCAGTGTCTACCAGTGGATGGGCCTCTTGTTCATCAGCGTATCTCAGTGATTTCGTGGCCTCGTTTCATCAGCATCCACACTTGTGGCTAGAGCAGCCCCTTCTTTCTCGGTGGATAAGAGCCCACCCCAGCCTCCTCCCCAGGGGGCTGTCCTTGTTCTGCTTGGCACAACCTTGAGCACATCCTTCCTAGAGCCGTTGTGTTACGAGGTCAGGACAGCACCTGGGGGCACGTCCAGCTCCTACCAGGTGCCGTGTGGGATCTGATGCAGGGCAGAGCCTGGGGAGTAAAGGGACTGAGGGCAGCGAGGACGGGTCGGGGCAGGGGGCAGGCTCTGACCTCACCCTCCTCTCCCGGGTGAGCTTCTCCTGCCAGCACAGGCAGGCTGCCCTCGGGCGTCCCGGGACTGTAGGGCTCTGCCCAGTGAGGTGGCTGCTAGGGGAGCCTCTGCGTGTGCAAAGCCTGGTCATGCTAGCAGGCACCTTCCTTCTGTGGGTCCTCGTGAAACCCCACACGTTTCTAACACACGTACGTCGGGCCTCGTCAGACCTCCCGTGTTAAAGTCTGGTCGGGACAGATGGCGAGGAGCTGGGGGAGGAGTGGGGGTAGGTGAGGATGTGTGTCTGGAGCATTGGGTCTGGCGACCGAGGCCCTGTACTGGTCCTCACAGACGCGGGTCCTCACAGGCGCGTGCCCTCCGTCTGCTCCCGTCACCAGCACAGGCCCCGGGGCACATGTCCAACCACAGGCCTCCGTCCCCCCAGCACTGGCACAGGGCCCCCCGTCTGCGTTTTCACGGGCTCTCCCTTCGATTGTAAAGACACTGCTGCCCCTGCTCCGGGCCTGCACGGGGCGTGTCATGGGTCAGGCATTGGTGCCTGCTCACGTCCTGGTGTCCCCACAGGGAGGCGGGGAAGACCGGGATCTGGCGCCCATAGGACGAGCTTCGGAAACAGCCGGTCAGACCAAGGACAGCACTGGAGAGAGCAAGGCCCAGGTAAGAGGGCGCTGCCCGCCCGCTCGGTCAGCGCCGCCCACAGTGTCAGTGCCTGCGTCAGAGACGGGTGTGCTTGCCAGGGAGCGGGTAGTGGGCGCACGAGAGCCCTGCTCACTGCACAAGCTGGTCTGTCTGTTCCTGGTCAGTTTTCCACCCGTCATTCACCTGGTCAGGGCCCCAGACCCTGCAGACCTCGTCACCTTGCAGGGAAGGTGTCGGGCAGCCCAGGCCCTGGGCCTCTGGCTGAGGCTCAGTGCACCTGCTTGCCCAGGACAGCAGAGCCCGAGCGCCTGACGGGAGACCCAGGCCGACCTGGGCCAGGCTGGAGTCAGGGGCCACATCCGTCCTTCAGAACGCACCTCTTCTCCATCTTCTGCTCGGTGTCCCCCACACGTGGCAGGTGTGGCAACCACAGTGACCCCGGCTGGGGCTGTCATTTCCCTCCCCTCTGGGTCTCAGGAAGTCAGGGAGGACGAGATGATGCCAGTCCGGGTGGAGAGGGCTGCAGGCGAGGATGGGCCCGGAGTGGGCGGGCCCTGTTCGCGTGGACACCACCTCTGGGCACGGGGTTCCTACACGGACTCGTGCAGCATCCGTGCCCCCTGGAGTTCGCCCAGCTTCCCTCGGTGCCCAGCCTGGCACGCTGTGGTTCTCTGGTTCTGCTCTTTCATGATGGAAAGGAAACACTTAGCAATGAAAACAGCCCATTGAACGTCAGCTGTGATTGAAAAATAAAACTTGAGTGTGAACAGTTTGCATGTGGCCCAGGCCAGGTGGAGGTGCCTCTAGGCCCCTGTGTTTGCAGCCTCTCAGAATAGGAGGCCGTCCACCCCCTCCCCAGGGTTTCCCACGGAGACAGACTCAGCCTGCGCTGCGCGGGTGGCATCCTGCACCCGGGGGACCGTGGGTGCCGCTAGCGCAGTGACCATGTCCTCCAGCTCCTCCCCGAGGTGTTTTCACTGTTAGTTTCCTGGCTTTTCCCTTCATAGTTAGAAGCTGAACTGTTTCAGTAGAGTTTTTTTTTTTATTTAAATATATTTTTATTGATTTCAGAGAAGGGGGAGAGAGAGAGAGAGAGAGAGAGAAACATCAATGATGAGAGAGAATCATAGATCGGCTGCCTTCTGCATGCCTGCTACTGGGGAGCCTGCAACCAAGGCATGTGCCCTTGACCAGGAATCGAACCTGAGTCCCTTCAGTCTGCAGGCCGACGCTCTGTCCACTGAGCCACACCAGCGAGGGCTCAGTAGAGTTTTTTCTATTAAAAAGCAAACAATGTTAGTTGTACCGAAATAGCCAGGATGAAGCTATGTTTTTAAAAATCAGTAAAGCAA